CATTTATTTATCATAATTGAACATTTACTAATGCATTATTAACATCCAAGTCCATGCTTGTTAACATTAGTTAATGCACCATGAGTTAACATGAACTTACAATGAACTACTGTATTTTCATTAACTAACGTTAACTAACATGAACAAATACAGTAGTAAATGTATTGTTCATTGTTTGTTCCCGTTAGTAAATGCATTAATTAACATTAACTAATGAACCGTATTGTAAAGTGTGACTAAAAATATTTCATTAAATAGTGGAGTCATCATTTTCATGCTGCTAAATTACAGACGCAATTAAAAAAAAAATCTTCAAAAAAGCTTGCAATTGCGGATTGCTTCAGTGTCTCTTTGTATATACATCTATTTACAGTTGATGTCAAAATTATTAGCTCTCCTGTGACTTTTTTTTCTTTTTCAAATATTTTCTAAATGATGTTTAACAGAGATTTTTCACAGTAAATCCGATTGAAAGCAGTTTAAAATTTTATTTTTTTTTAAATACATTAAGGTCAAAATTATTAGCCCCTTTAAGCTATACATTTTTCTATTGTCTACAGAACAAACAAAATAACCTAGTAAACTAATAAGCTAAGCCTTTCAATTGCATTTTAAGTTGAAAAATATTAAGTAAAATTATGTACTGTCATCATGGAAAAGATAATGAAATCTGTTATTAAATATTAGCTAAATATTAGCAACTAATTAAGGTTATTGCACACTAAATCCGGAATTTTCATCCATAATTTTCACAAATTAAAAAAATAAATTCGACCTCACATTGTGTCAATAGTACAGACACCCTGCTCTGAAACTTTTGTCTGTCACAAAAAAATTTGACTCGGGTTAAATTTTTGCATCTGAAAAAGCACTTTGGGAGGTGTTTGGACAGTTCAGAGCCACCGTACAAGCAAAAAACTAAATACAGAATGCCGTCATTTGAGCCACAGATATCTTTATGGCAAACAGTGCATTACAATAAAGACAGAATGTGGCTGACAGCTGAGAAGCCCTATGCTGGATTCAGTGACTGGCACACATCTCTCCTGCTACTGCTTGGTGTGTGTGTGTGTCCGTACATTTGATGTACTGCCCATAGGCATAATAATAGAAAGCATGGTCCGCTTTCATTCCGTTGTTTCGAAACATCAACATGGTCACTATCTATTATAATGTCTGTAGTTATTGCCATTCTCTGTCCCGGCTTTGTTTACATACTTAAACGTGTGAAGTATCACAAGCAATGTATTAAAATTCTATTGATTTCCTGAAATGAACTTTTTTTTTAAGCATTTCGGGATAATCATAGTGTAGATCTTTGATAATGAGCTGAACTATCCTTTCTCTCTATGCAGTATTGGATGAACACAATATGTAGCCGAGTCCTCTTTCTTTTTCAACTTTAGACAAAAGAAGAGAACAAAGTAGCTCTGCTTGAACTGACTTAGAAGTTTTTGGTGTTTTTTTTCATAATGGATTACTTGATACCAATGGGACTCCGTGTGCAAGGTTTATTTACATGACGAACAAAAACGCATATGAAAATATCGGACTTCAGTGTGCAAAGACCTTTATGTTTATAAAGGTGTTGAAATCTTTTTAAAAAATAAATAAATACATACATAAATAAATAAATAATTAAACATCAAGATTCTTTTTTGCTACATCACCCAGCCCAACATACAATATAAACAATCTAGGCCTTATGCCCCCCCTAATGACCTCTGCAACCCAGCCATGGCTGCTCACGGGCTGTGGGCCAAATAAAGGAGCTCCTGGCCTTTGATGTGTTCACAGAGAGGGGTTTGGGTGAGGAAAGGGGTCATGGGGTGGCTCTAAAAGAATCCCGTTCCAGCTGGGTTGGCCTGCCTGTAATTTTTTGGGAATTGAGTCACTCTGACTGCTCAGCGTTTACCATCAATTAGAGCTCTTCAGAACGGGGATCATCTACTAAAACCTGTTTTTCTTCCTCAGAAAACGGTGAGGGTCTTATTTTCTCAACGAAGACAAACACAACCTGACAATCCCAGCGCTTTGCTTCAGTGAGCTGGCAGGGTTCTGGAAAGGCCGACCTTTGACATGGAACTTGTTCATAAAACAGGGAAGTTATTTAACGCCACACATCTCGGGGTGAGTATGGACGGCAGAAACAACACAGGCCTGTTGCGGAAACGATTGTTCAACTCCTCTGAGACTCTCACACTCTGATAATATGCCTATTTAATATTACAAACACAAACAAAACCACAAATAGAAGTCACCTGGCAGGAACTAATGCAAACGTAGCTATTTAAAACTCCTGTATGGCTCTAAGAAAAACATGCATACATATGGTTTTTTTGTTTACATATACAGTTGAAGTATGATTATTAGCCCTCCAATGATTTTTTTTTCCTTTTTCAAATATTTTCCAATTATGTTTAAAAGAGTCAATAATTTTTCACAGTAATTCCTATCATATTTTTTTCTTCTGGAGAAAGTCTTATTGGTTTTATTTCAGCAACAAAACAAGCAGATTTAGATTTTTTAAAAACCATTTCAGCCTTTTTCAAGTCAAGTGCTATTTTGGGGTTTCCACCTGGATTTTGCTTACCCAAATTCAAAAGCTTCCCAATTCCACATCCAGAGGTGTACATGCAAAAGTTTGGTATCACTTTAAAGAAATCCCTTTGAATTTTTTTATAAAACACTGTTGAAAGTGACTGAAATAATAGGATATGTTGTCTGTGTTACAATAAACAATAAATGTTACAATAAAAGGTGTAAACTCAATTTTGAAAGTGTACCTTTTAGGTTCTGTGTGGTCTAGGTTGCTGTAAATAATTTTGGGGGTTCCTGCACATGTCACTAATCATAGTAAAAAAGAAAAATGTCTCTATCATAATATATGCAAAAGTTATTCTATTTCAACTGATGAGAGAATGGAACCACTCATGAGGTATTGGGTCAGTACCGGCCCTTAAAATTGAAAGAATGCAGAAGTAAATGACATCACAGACCCATATATATATTATTTAGCTTTTAGCTTTAGCCTCTGTACTGTCATCATGGCAAAGATAAAATAAATCATCAAGATCAAGATATATCACATAGTGTCTGTTCCACTTTCACTCTCCCCAATAACAACAAATTGCTGTGCTTGACCTTTGAACCTAACAACTGAAATGGAGCTGTTCACCTTGCAAAGCATCACAAAGGCATCGTGGGATTGTCCTTGAGATCCCGCACAGCAAGATGTGGACCTACTTTTGTTTCCATGGAAACTGCGCCAATGACTGAAATGTTCTGTTTCCGATGTAAATGATTCTGCTTAATACTGGTCTATAGAAAATGTGACATTGACGTGTGCAATATTTATTCACAAAGTTTAGAAAAAAAAATGTAAAAATCATTCATTGTGTATTAGAATTAGAACATTTTGAAAACAAACAATTGTGAATAGGATTTCAATTTTATGTAAAGTATTAAACAAGCTAAATTTCCTAAACATCAGAAGGCAATATCAGCAAAATTGCAAAGGTGATAATGATTTGTATTCCACTGTTCAACAAATAGAGTAAGTTTTATTTTATTCAGGTTGCCAAAAAATATAGTTTCAAAGCCAGAGCAGAATATTTAACTCTTAAACAAACTATTTGAATGAATGATTCAATTAAATATTTATGATTACAGCAACTTGTGCAACCTGATGGCTGTTTTTGCATCATATTTAGTAATGACAGGCCTAAACCAGCCAAGATACTTATGCATTTCAGAAAACATGAAATTTGGATTTTTCCTACTTCCTACTTGGATATAACATCTAAAACGCTGCCTGAAGTTCAACATTGAAGCCGTGAACTCGAAGAAGATTGAAGAATTAGGACTTCAGCAAGATGCATCATTTGACATCACTGAGATTAGAGCTACCATATGTGAAATGCTAAAATAATAGTTCAAGTGTTTTTACAGCCCAACATGAGCTTTATAGTGCAATCTAATGAAGGGAGTTGTATATAGCTTATGCTCATAGCTTATCCAACCTGTATATAATTTTGATAGTACATCCATCTGTAAATATCACCATAGTTTTTCTATAACTGCACTTTATAACTTATTCCTGTATCCTGCACTTTCTGCTATTGCACTGCTGGTTAGACCTAAACTGCATTTTGTTGCATTGTACTTGTACATGTGTAATGACAATAAAGTTGAATCTAATCTAATCTAATATATATATAAGTATAATATATATATATATATATATATATATATATATATATATATATATATATATATATATATATATATATATATATATT